CTTTTGAGGATCGCCATTCACATTCAGTAAAAGGGATATAAAAATGTGTGGATATTAAGGAGGCTTGGATATATAAAACATTGTCGTCACTACTTTCGCCCTTTCCTACGCATTCTTATTTTTAAAAAAGCTTATTATAAATAAAACGTTTTTTGTAAACCCCCCCCCCCCCCACTTTATACGTCCCTCACTTTTCAATAAAAAATATGCTTATATGCATGCGCAATGATGCGCATGTAATCGCTATCCGGTACTTAAACCCTCACCCTTTCTACTACTAGTTAAACCCCCCTTTATTATATCTCAATCCCAATCTTGCATTCCCCCAAGCTTGGACAGCATAAATTAAAAATCATCCGCATTCCGTTCCTCCTTATATTCAAAAAACTGACTGGGTAAACAAGTTATATAAGTAAATTTTGGTAAAAATATCAAGGAATATATATCCAATATTAATTTTATCCTTCGATACATATCATAGAGAAATTTTTTTTCTCAAATTTTCCTTAAGAAATAAATTAAATAATTAAGGTTAAAATAAAAATAATCCTTAAGCTTGTTCCCTAATTTATAAATAAACACAACTTCAAAGTGTATGCAGCTTCAAGAAAAACCAGAAAAAAATCAACAACAACAACTAAAACCATCAGCAGTGTCTTTTACAGCGTTTCTTGCAATTTATTTGTTCGGACTTGTAATTTGTATACCGACTTCATTGTTAATTTGGTTCGTTAGACGTCGTTTATTCAAAGAAACAAAAGTTGCAGGGGTAGTTATATTTGTATAGTTACATTATACTTATAATTAAACAGTCATGCGTGTTATCATCATCCACCCAGAACAATGGAATGGCGGGTCGGACCGCTGCACTGTAAGCAAACTAAAGCTTAAAATTTAAAAAAATTTCATTAAAAGATCGGGTTTCTTCGACATTTCGTCCAAGCCGGACATCAGGTCGCTTGGTTAACAACAATGATTGATGATTATTGGGCAGATGAGGAATTCAAAGGAGTAGAAATTCATGAAGTTCGTCTCCCGCTACATCCTGGAGATTGGTTTTCACAAAATATAGGTAATATTCAAAGGCTTCCTCTAGAAAATAACTAATCTTAACAGCACTTGCGTATCACATAATTTTTCGCACGAAACTGAAACCAGATTTAATTGTTGCTGATCACAGTGCGTCGTGCGTTCCGATATTAAAATGGTGGTTTCCAAAGGTAAGAGCGCGCTTTTTAAATTAAATAAAATCTCAAAAACTTTAAGGTACACGTAATGTTCTACTGCCATTTTCCCCAACAATTGGTTCGAAATCTCACAATTAAAAAATACTTAAATTCACTCTTACAGGTAACACCAAATCGCTTTTTTCTGTATCGTTGGTACTCGGCATGTATGGGCCTTATTGAAGCTCACATGTGTGAATATGCAGGTAATTTAATAGTCGAAGCTTATACGAAGAGACAAAAAAATTTTTAGATATGATCATTGTGAACAGTGAATTTACGTGTAAATTTTTAATAGAAACCCTTTGCTTAAAAATTCTATGATAAAAAATATTTTTTACAGCCAAAAACTTTCAAACTGTAATGCCCAGCATACCCAAAGAGAAACTGCGCGTGATTTATCCTCCTTGTGATGTTGATTCACTGAGCGTTGTGTCACGTCCAATTTCACGCAAACATCGGATGCCTAATGAACGCTACCTATTTCTTTCAATGAATCGTTTCTGGCCAGAAAAGCGTTTGGACATAATTTTGGACGCAGCTGGTTTGTTCAAATTATTTTTAAGCTTGGTCAGCCCCCTATTTTTCTTTTGTTTAATTCAAATAACGTAAAATCTCTAATCCCCTCTCTACTAGAGAATTCACTTTTACATACATAAACTACATAACTTTCCCTCTACTTTCCCCTGTACTTTCCAATCTCCCCAAACTTTACTTTCCCGATTATCCAATGAATATTTAACTTAATTTCCATAAAAACAGAAAATTTTACCCGTTTAAAAAGCGTATAATAAATATTCTCGGAGTTTTATTCCTAAGCGATTGATTCTTATCTATGAATTGTTTTAAGAAAATTTTCTCTCATTCACATCCAGAAATATTTGTTGAAGCAAATATCCTATAAGATGCGTGGATATAGATCCTTACTTAAGATAATTAAATAAATGAAAGTTTGACAGACAAAAAAGAGAAAGAAAAGTACAAAAATATGAACTTTGAAAAACTTATCCCTCTCACTTTCAGTTCAATTGAAAAGCTTTGGACTTAATCCACTTATACAAATGGCTGGGTCTGTAATGCCGCACATTCCGGAGTCTAAGATTTACTACGAATTGTTGAAGGAACAATGTAAAAAATACAATTTGGAGGACATTATTGAAGTACGGGTTTTTTAAATTTTTTCTTCAAGAAAACTGAGAGAAAGCTTAAGAGGAAAATTATGTAAATTGTTGAAATTAATTCAAGAGGGGAGATATTTAGAAAGGGAAGATAAGGAGGATAGTTCAAAGAAATATTTTGAAGAAAGGGAGATGAATCGAAGGGAGGTAAATCGAAGAAAGGGTAGATAATAAAAGATAATTCAAGGTGGGATACAAATTTCGAAGGTAGATTCTTATTTTTAATTTTTAGAAGAAACTGATTAGATTGAAACTATAAGGGTATGAGAAAATAGAAAAAACTTTCGAAAAAACTAAACTTTAGAATTACCAAGAGAATAATAAAAAATTACACCCCTTTTATTTTAAAAAAATGAATAAAACATCGCCTAATCCCAATTTTAAATAAAAATTAATATTATTAGTTTATACCTGATCCAAACGATGAGAAAAAATTCGAATTGTACAGCCAATGCGATTCTGTAATCTACACACCACCCAATGAACATTTTGGTATTGTCCCAATTGAAGCCTTAGAGCAACGTCGTCCAGTTATTGTTATTGACAGTGGTGGGCCCTCAGAAACAGTCATTGAAGGAGTGACAGGAACCAAGGTGAATTATTGCTGTTTTCTAAAATTTGATAAAATAATAAAAAAAAAGATTTCTGATACCGATGGAATAAAGTTGGCCGAGGCAATGGTTGAACATATGGAATCCAAGGAGTGGATCAATTTGGATGATGATGCTCATTATGTTATGCAGGTGAACAAATCTGTAAAATATTGAATAAAATAAAATGGCAGCTCAATTAATGTTGGAAGTTCGTGAGAAATGTCCAGATATGTATCAGGAAAGAGAGACATTTTTTCCAACCCGAAAATGTCCGAATATCCGGACCTTTTCGGTTCTAGATAACAGGAAACGTCAACCTTAAATCAAGTGTCACACCTTTTCCACTATAGGGCAGGGATGTCACGGGTTACATGAAACCCGGACTTAATTTCGACCCGAATCCTGAGAAACCTTCCAAAACCCGGCCCGACTTTTTCCTCAACTAGTGGAATCCCTGTTAGTCCAATTCAGAAATCAAATAGAAAAAATAAATTTGAAAAACCTTTTGCAGCGTGCTCGCTTCGAAAAACACTTTAGCTTGAATGGATTTGGACAAAACATCGACAAAGCAGTCACAAAAATATTTGGCAAAGATATGAATGTAAATAATGAAGAAGAGCAGCAAATAATGGAAGCGGTTAAAATCTAAAATATAAAAAAATAATTAAAAATTTTCTAAATATTTAAGCACACAAATGGATTCACTTCATACACAAGCCATGCAAAACGGCAGAAGAAACCCGAAGGAAATTTAAAGGGAAAAGCACGCCAAAACGGACAGGATCGAAAAAACGCATAAGCACGGAAAGACAATTACATAATTTTAGTTTCAAAGCACAAGCTCAGCTCTCATTTCACAAAAAAAGAGTTGGATAACTTAATTAAAAAAATTTTTCTGAACATTTACAGAGCTGAGCTTTATTTACGAAATCTCTTGCTTTTGCTATTTATATTAAATACATATGTATTAATTGTAATTTAGAAAATAATTAAATTATTCAGCATAAAGTTTGGAAAATATTCGTGTAAATTTGACTCAAAAAATAGAATGGCCTGCAAGGTTGTCGGTTTCAGAAGTTTTTTTTGGTAATAACTCAAACGGAATAATTTCGGTTAACCAAAACTGATAACCCTATCTTTAGGTCTTCGGTTCGGTCTGAAACCGACAACCCTAATATTTAATAAGTTAATTAAAAAAACCTCCATCTTTGGTTGATAGTCATTGAAAACAAGTAGAACATGCAGAAAATTGACCTTCTTATTCAGTTAATAAAGTTGTTGATCCATCATCTTGCAAGGACATAAGGTTTTGTTTGAGTATTTTCGAATCTTCCATAAGCCACAAAGGTGACATTTCATCTAGAAATTTAGTTACAGCATAAAATTAAATACGTATCGAGTTAAAACAAAGTATAAAATCTATAACAAAGGATATCAAAAAAATTTTATCATAAAAGGCAAATAAAAAGACGAATAAAAACATTCAAAATATAAAATTTGTTTGAAAGACAATCGTAATAAAAAAATGTTTAAATGTTGAAGCTTCTACTCGGGTTTTTGTTGAGACCATAAAATAATCAGGAAGCAGGCTTGATAATACATCCACAAAAATTTAACAAGAGATTAAATGACGAACAGTTTTGAACATTTCCATCAAAAGACTGGCAGGGTATCGAGAAAACTGAAATGAAAAAATCGAAAAGTAGGGAAGCTTTTTCAATCTTGGGATTGAAGGGATCCTGTGATTCATGGACAGTTTTGGCAGGGTAACGGGAATTCATGGAATCCCGTCCAAACATTTTAAACCCAACCCCGTTTCGAGATCCCAGGATTGCGATTTAACCAATCTCCGAAATCTGGACTTTTTCCAGCTCTAAACCCAACCCTGGAAATTTTCGTTGATGAAAATCACAAATACGAGAAAATAAAAAAAATAACCTGATAATGGAAAACAGTAAATTGATCCAATCCGTGCCCAACATCAAAACTATATAAAAATATTTTTATTTCAGATAGAATTTAAAAAACCCTTCTCGATGAAAATTATTTATTCCCAAACATTTTGTAACAATTCCCATTTGAACATCATCCAAGTGAACATGCCTCCATGGAAAATCACAAATACGTTGAAGAATGTCTACAGCAGCATCGCGGGAAATGATAAAACTTGAACCCTTAAAGAATGATTTAATTGTAAGAAGTTTATGGGATAAAAACGGATTAAAATTAAATTCCTAAGGGGGTGTTGATTCTTTCAAGGAGCTATAGGATAAACTCAACCACTCCTAAAACCCACTTTGAACGGCCATAACTAGGCACAAAAACATTTTGCAAGAAAACGGATATCATTTCGAAACAAGAAGTCGGGGATCCTTTATCGAATGGCATAGAAAATGTTCACTTGTTAGGCAACAAATAAATTTGTTTTTAATATTTCAAATAGTATATTTACATTAATATAAATTTTCAAACTTGAACAAACGGTGGATAGCATTTGTGAGGATATTGTTCAGCAGAGACATACCAAGGCAACCATGGAAAAACCAGCCGAGGATATCCACGAGAAACTTTTCCAATCAAATAGCGTTTATCATCAGGGGAAGTTGAAGTATTTTGCCACTGAAAAAATAACGTTGTGTTTATAATAGAGAAATTAAGAGTTCGAACTCGGCCTAACAATCCGGTACCCCGGCAGCCGAGTATTTTGATAAAATCCGGTTTTTCAGTCTCCGGGGTTGCCCACGGCCGGGAAGCTTGATAGAAAACGAACTCAGGATACCGAACTCGGCAATGTGAAAAGTTCGAACTCTAAAAATTAATCAAAAAATACGTGTTCAATCTGATGAAATAAAACATTCAATGCTGTAGCATTCACAATTGTATCTAAATTTAATTTATTAAAATATTTAAAAATTTAAAATTATACCATCGTTAATAACCACAATTTGTTGAATATTTGCGTGAGCAGTAAAATAACTATAAATTCCTTAAAAAATATTTTTAAAGCAAAATAAAATTTTATAGTTCATTTACCCATCATTTTAGTAGATAAATTCCTGTAGGAGTCTTCAAAATCCATTTGAAGAATGTCGCCATGTTCTCTACTCTCTGAAGACAATTCAGTTACGTCTCGACCCGTTACAAAAATAACAGGACCATCACTGTGTTGTTCTACTGCTGTTTTCCATGAGGCTCGTATAAATTTGCGGTATTCTAAAGCGCGAGGAGCTGTTCGAATCTGAAAAGAGAAAAATATTGTGATAAACAGGAAAAGCAAAAAAGTTTAATAATGGCCACAGAATAGGTGAGGAAGCTCTCAAAATAAGTAGGGAAAACCTGAACTCCTATTCCCCTTTAAGGCTTGAAGATGTTAAAAAAGGGAGTGGGGGAGGGAAACTAAAATACAAGCAGGGAAAACCCTCACCACCCCACAGGGTAAATTTTGAGGTTTCAAGAAATAAATTTCTATAAAAAATACCACAACAACTCTCTTCAAGTTCGGATCGTCCAAATTGCTTCGCCATGGATGAAGTAAAGTGCTAATCGATTTGTTCGAATTGCAAAATGAAAAACCATTTTGTATGTCACGATCACCGGCGTTGTCGATAAAACGTTCATTGTCTTTCCCATTATTCTGTGCAAAAAAGTAGGCAGCACAATCTTCAGTTGAGGATCTTAAAGCTCGACGAACAGCTAAAAGATCAGGATCGGTGTAGCAATAAATTCGAAGAGGAAGTAAGCAACGTTCTAGATAGTTTGCAATCTGAAACGAAAAAAAAGTTTCTAAGAATCAGCCCATTAGAGTAAAAACTTACAAAAATGTACGGCAAAATCCAAATGAATTGAAGTAGCAAAATTAAAAGAACATCGGGAATTGTAATCTTCTTTATCCATCTTCTTTGAACAGGACTGTTTTTGGCATTTTCTGAATCATTAAAGTTTCTTCTCTTCTTTTGAACTTTGATAGATTGTAGGCCTTTATTTGCTTTTGGAGAAGATTTGTGACAATTATTAATTTGATGGGAAATGTTGTTTTGCGTAATTAAAGCAAGATGAGAATTGGGGGATGAAGAAGAGTTTTCTTGTGAAATTGAAAAAAGTTTTACGAGTAAAGGATAATGTGGTTTTGAATTGGAAGGATTATTTTGACGAGAATTCAGCACAGAATTTGAACGTTTATAATTTAGCCGTACAAGAGGCCAACAAAAGGAAGATGAAGAGATTGTAATGCTGTCAGATTGCGAATTTATTTTTAATAAAGAAGAGGTTGATGAGGATTTGGAAGATTTTGGAGATGAAGATGATGAGCGGATTCGGCCATAAGTACAAGAATTTATTTCTAATTGTTGTTCAGTAATACGTAAGGGATATGAAGAAGAGCATGAAGATGGGGTTGTTGATGTTGAAAATGATGAACAGGCAGAGCTAAAGGATACAGAGCTGGAACAACGGCGTTGTGACATACAAAGATATCAACTGAAAATATTGATAAGGTCAAAAGAAGTCTATAAAATTGAAAAATCAATTATTTGAAGAAAATCTTCAAAATTTTACATCAATGAAACAGTCATCAAAGAAAGAAAAAATTGAAGAAAAAGAAAGAATTACATAAAGCAGAGCTAAAGATTTTAGCAATAAAAGTGAAAAAAAGTCGCTCGCGCCGTCCCGCGATCGCACTGAGAACATTCGAAGGCTATCCATTATTGTTTTACGGCAACACGACTTTGAATAGGAAAATCATATCCCTAGTCCACTATTTATTCGATAAGATCTGTGTTACTCAAATTGTAAACGGCAGAGTAATTCAAATGATGTGTTCGCTTCATTGCACATTAAAAACGTCTTTTTTTAGCTTGAAGTTAACATAACCAGTTCTATGTTTAACCATATTAATAGTCTGCTTTTAATATTTGAAGCCAAATTTGGGGAGATAGTTTTTGATGTTTAAGATGATGACGAGATTGCAATATGCATATTTTCAGTAATAAATCAAGACAGATGATCAAAGTTTAAAACAGCCTTTTTAGAAAAAATAACCAAAAATGTTGGATATTAAGAAAGATTTATAAAGATTAAAAAAAAGGTTCAAATAAGATAAAGAAGTAAAATCCCTAAAACTCGGACCGAAAGTATACTATTCTGAAAATTTTCCTTTTTTAAATTTGTTTAATTTGATCATTAAATTAGTTTGGCGAAATGTTTTTAATAGACTACATAAGAAAAGTTAGATAACATCTCCATATTTTGCCAAAACATATTTTGCCAATAAGGCTAAAAATTTACGTTTTGTCAAAAAGTTTCTTGGCAAAACGTGTTACTTTAGCCTTATTGGCAAAATATAGATTTGGCAAAACGTGTTTATACGGTTAGAATGGCAGACAGTTCCATGGAGATTTCCAGCAAATTTATTTAGCTTTACGCTTTCATATTTTCGATTTTATTATTTAAGCATTTAGTAAACAAAATGTGGTATTTATTGATTTTATGATGTTTATCCATTTAATAAGATTTTGTTTTTATAATTTTTAGCTCTATTAAAAGTCAAAACAACTTTATTGCGTTTAAATCTTGAAATCTTGTACTTGTTCAACTTTTTCAAAGTTTTCTTCTTTTTGGTGATCTAACTGGTCTCCTTGTGATTGGTTGAATATGCGAGCAAAGGTCGATTTTAAAAGTTTCGAGTCAAGCTTATAAAAAATTTAATTTCAGTGGCGTAAGAAAAGGATGCGTCGTTTGAAGCGTAAGCGAAGACAGCAAAAGAAATGAGACTGAAAATTGGCTTTATTGGAACTTGGCAAAACGGAAACGACGAACCAAAAATTTTCTGAAAAGTTATCAACATTTTCAACCTGAAGATGTTTTATGTTAAATTTTATTTTGTTAAAATCAGTAAACAGAAAAACTTCAGATTGTTTATAATTGTGTTGTGTAGCGTTTTCTATTTTTTAACTTTGCTTTGTCTCCGATTATTCCCGGTTCGTTCCTTATCTATTTCCGACATTGGCTAATGGTCGGGATCCCAACATCTAGCTACCAATCTCCTTATATAGCTTTAAGTCAACTTTTTTTTGACTCTTACGTCCATGAACCCTGTTATAGCAAGCCAATTTTCTGTAGGTTACACCAAGTTGGTTCTATTCTTGATTGAGATAGTTTGACTTCAGTCAATTTGTCGTCGTCTGGAAGTGTTAGCGCTCGAAGTTCCTCGTAATCTAGTCGATGATTTGTAAACGTTTACGTCCTTATCGTTCTAGTTTACAATCAACTGAGTTATTATCAATTTCCGACCATTAGGACTCTTAGATCCCTGGTTTAACCTTAATCTTTGTGTGTTAAATCAGTTCTTTGAGGTCTTTTTTTAAACAATTTCCATTTTATACAATTTTCTTGTATGCAACACCCCCAAGAAATTCCTCCAGTCATTAGTTTTAATTTTTTGTTCGTTTCATGTCATCTATACTATGAAGTTTGGTCCTTCTGGCGCCATTATTTTCAACCCCCATAGTGTTTATTGGTCGATGAAATAAAGAGTGACGAGAGGGATTGGCCATAGTGAGAGGGTGGAAGTAAGGGGAGAAGAGTAAGAGAAAAAGCAAGGCTTCTCCATATTCTGCAAACCCACACTTTGCCAATAAGGTTAAAAACTCGCGTTTCGTCACAACGCTATTGGCAAAACGTGAGATTTTAGCCTTATTGGCAGAAAGATGGTTTGGCAAAATATTGAGACACTAAAATAGAAAGATTGCTGGCTCTAAGTGAGTGCGTACGTTTGTGTTTTGTTTTAGGGCCTGTGTACACACATTTTTGAGATTCTCGGGTAAAAATTTTTTTGTTTTCTCTTCAATATTTATTACGCATTTTTGCTATTTTCGTTTCTCTTATATTTCCACTCGTTCACTGATATAATCCTTACGTGTCCGGACAAAATATCGAATCGTTAAAATATGGAATAGGCTAAAAAAGGGTTAAAATCTCGAATCGGGTAAAAATGGGTTAAAATCGCGAATAGGCTAAAAAGGGGTTAAAATATGGAATCGTTAAAATATGGAATGGTTAAAATATCGAATAGGCTAAAAAAGGGTTAAAATATGGAATCGTTAAAATATGGAATGGTAAAAATGTCGACACGGCCAAAATTGGTCAAAATGTCGAATTTTTTAAAAATGGCGCCAAAACTAGAATCCGGACGGTACCGTAATACCGATGGTATTTTTCGGTATTCCGTGTCGGTTGTACGGTACGGAATGCCTTCCGATAAAATTTAAAAGCTGATCGGTGTTTTTCGGTATTCCATACCGTATACGGTAAGGTCAAACTTTAGGTCTTAACTAAAAACTAATGCACACCACTATAATTTTTCCATATCAGGATCGCGTTATGTTTTCCGGATCCGTACGATCATGCCGGACCGGATCCGGTGTCGATTATGCTTAATTTATCCGGTCCGGTTTTACTCCGTAAAATACACTGAACTCGGGCAGAAAAGATTGCGCCGGACTACGACATAAGAGACTTATCAATCAACTTATCATCAATAAGTTGATAAGTTGATAAAATTATCAATAATCAATGTATGGCACTCATCTGACCCTTTTTTAAAAGAATTCGACATTTTGACCCATTTTGGCCGTGTCGACATTTTAACCATTCCATATTTTAACGATTCCATATTTTAACCCTTTTTTACCCGATTCGATATTTTAACGATTCTATATTTTAACGATTCGGTATTTTAACCCCTTTTTAGCCTATTCGCGATTTTAACCATTCCATATTTTAACGATTCCATATTTTGTACCGGAGCCAATCCTTACAATAATGGCAAAAAGAGTAAAAGAGAGAGAGTGAATGTTTGTGTTTCCAAAATAGGAAAAGAAAGAGCGCTGGCTCTAATGGCGACGACTTTCCCAAAACACACATTGGCGCGCATCCAAATAATGTAAAATATATGTACATTATTTTTAGCAACAAGAGCTTTTTAAAATTTGTAAAAAGTCAAAGTTTGCATTGAAACTATGGCCAATTTACGCAATAAATAAACGCGTGCAATGCTTAAACTGTTTTATGTTTAATTTTGTTTAACTACAAAAAAATTTTTGCTCGTTTCTAATATTTTTTTTATTAATCGGATTAAAAAATATTTTTTTTTCTTTTTTTAGAATTGAAAGAAAATTTGTAAAAATTATTTTATTGTACATTTGTTTAAGCCCTGTTCAAAATGGAAGACAAAAGTAGAAGAGGAAATACGCCTGCTCATTCTAGAGAGGTTATAGCTTCAAGATCAGGTTAGTCTTTTTTAAATTTTTAAAGGGTTTTTAGCTAAATTAGAGTTCGAGTCTTTCACGCGCTGGGCCAGTTTCCGGGTTTAAGCTGGCCGGGCCGGGGTTTCATGGCTAAAATCCTAAAGCTATGATTTTATCAAAGTATCCTGTACCTGGCGCTTTAAATTAGAATTCGAACTCAACATAGCCGTCCCGGCACCCGGGTTTTTCTTTTAGGTTTTAGTTTTTTAGCCGAGGTTATAGCCGGGGGTCCCAGGCTAGAACCTTGAAAAATCGGATTTTATTAGTATCCCTGGGCGGCCCTGGTTTTAATTCTAAAATTCCCTTACAATGCTCTTCAAATTAAATTTCTATTTTTGCAGAACATGCAGTCAGCAAACCCATTATGGTACAGGCACGTGGTCCTCATTATGGTGCATCGGTGGTTTCGCCAAAATCAATTGGAGGCGAACAGTCTGGACTTTGTCATCAAATGCTTGAGAATGTTTTGTCGTCTTCACCTGGAAGTCTTAATGCAAAATTTGTAATTTTTTAAAAAAAATTCTTGGAGATAATTCTTTTATTTTTAGGGTGGAATTTCTAAAAATGGGAAACCTTCCAAGTTGGCCACATCTGAAAACATGGACAAAAAGTTTGTTTTTTAAATTTGTTTTGTTCAATTTTTTTTAATTTTAGTGGCATTACAACAACAAACGTGCCACGAACAAGTTATCCCTCAACGACAACAACAATGGTCTCATCATCTACACAAATCACTTCAACTCATTCTCAGCCTGTACCTATTCCAAATCCTTATTCTAATGTTGGAGGGGCAGATATTATTGGTGGATGTCATATGATTGGAACGCCAGAATTTAGTCAGGTTAGATTAAGAAATTTTTTTTACTTTTATAATTTCTATAAGATTAATTTTTTCTAGTATCCTTTCATGGTTCCTGGTCAACCAGGCACTCCAATAATTTATGCAACAAGACAAAATGCTTCTGTCCTTGGCTCAACACCAACAAATTATGGTTATGGCTCTTGGGGTGCCGTATATCCCCAGCCTGCGCCTCCTCCTCATCCACATCATAATGGAACAATATTACACACAGGTTTGTTTTATACTTTATCAAAAAAGAATATTTTTTAGAACACGCTGTAAGCAATCCAATCATGGTACAAGCACGCGGCCCTCATTATGGTGCAATGATGGTTTCACCAAAATCTGGAGAACAATCTGGTTTATGTCATCAAATGCTTGAAAATGTGCTGTCATCGTCACCTGGAAGTCTGAATGCTAAATTTGTATGTCTTTTTGAATTTTGTATTGATTTTATCAATTATATTTTTAGGGTGGAATTTCTATTAATGATAAGCCTTCAAAGCTGGCAACTGTTGATATGAGGTTTTTATATTTTTTTAAACTTTAAATTTGTTTTTCCGATATTTATACCAAGCTTTAGCAATTCCGTTTAAAAATTTTTTAAATATGCTTGGTATATTATCGTCAATTACTAATTTAAAATAAGAACAGCACAAAAAATGTTCATTTTATTAGGAATCACCCTTCAACAACATCAACAATGGTTTCATCTTCTCAAATGGCTCAAGTTCATTCACAGCCTGTCCCAATTCAAAATAATTATTCTGGAGTTGGTGGTCCTGATATGGGTGGTGGATGTCACATGATTGGAACTCCAGAATTTAGTCAGGTTTGACTCATTTACACGAAAAACATTTTTGTTCAAAAATTTTTTTAGTATCCTTTTATGGTTCCTGGACAACCAGGTACTCCAATACTTTATGCAACAAGACAAAATGCGGCGACTATTCTTGGTTCAACACCGCCAAATTATGGTTATAGTTCTTGGGGTTATCCACCACCACCTCAAGCAGCGCCTCCGCCACACCATCATCATCACAATGGGACAATATTGCCTCCAGGTTATTTTTATTTAAAAATTAGTCAGTAATTTTCTTTAAATAGTTGGCGGCCGTGTTCCTCTTGTACAGACACTTTCTGATCGTGCTTCTTCAAATTTTCGTCCAAACAGGACACCAGGTTCACTTTAAGGCTAATAGCTTCCTGATTGTGCTTCTTTTTAGGTACTCGCGTTCCTCTTAACACTCTTCACACCAATTCTCTTCATGGTAACGAAGAGATACAACACTCTAGAGGTGGAAATGTTGCTGCTCATCGTTCTCAACTTTTGGATGATTTTCGAAATAGTCGATTGCCTCATTTGCAACTTATGGATTTGGGTGTGTATGTAGTGGAATTTGCTCAGGATCAACACGGATCACGGTTTTTTTATTTTTTGGATTAATTAGCTTATTTTTTAATTTCTAGTTTTATTCAACAAAGGCTTGAAAGAGCAAATGCTAAAGAAAAACAATTTATTTTCGATGAAGTATATCAACACGCTTTGCACTTGATGACTGATGTTTTTGGTAATTATGTCATTCAGGTTTCTTTCTAAAAATATTTTATAAAAATTATTTTTTTTTCTAGAAATTCTTTGAATACGGCACTGATGAACAAAAACGCAAATTGATGCAAATAGTCCAAGGAAATGTTATGAATCTTGCTTTACAAATGTATGGATGTCGAGTGATTCAAAAAGCTTTGGAATCAGTTGATCAGGACTGTCAAATGGAAGTTATAAAAGAAATTAGCAATCATGTGCTTAAATGTGTTAAGGATCAAAATGGAAACCATGTGGTGCAAAAGGTAAATTTTTTGAATTTATTGAGAACTATTAACACGGGATCAACCCAGACTCCTTTTCCACAAGTCAGCTCTCTGTTAAGTGAATGTAAGCAGGCCATAGCTTGATCCCTAGTCCCTTTATCCGCTCTAATATTTGGTTTTTACCCTCTTATGTGAGTAATTTGACCAAAACCTTCTTGGTTTTGGCTTTTTAAGATATGTATGATGTACCCTTTGCACCGTTTAAATTTTTTTAATTTTGTATAGATCATTGAGAGAGTGGAGCCTCAACAACTTCAATTCATCATTGATGCGTTTACTAAAGGAGCACCTGACACTGTTTGTTTTATTTTACTTTTAAACAATTTTGGTCATTTTTAAGGTCTGTTCGCTTTCTTCTCATCCTTATGGATGTCGTGTTATTCAACGCGTTCTTGAACATTGTACAGAAGAACAAAAGAGGTTTTTTTTTAATTTATTTTTTAATTTTAAAAATATTCTTTTCTAGACCAGTTCTTGAGCAATTACACGAAAACATCTTTACACTTGTAACAGATCAATATGGCAATTACGTAATTCAACACGTTATTGAACATGGAATTTCTTTGGATCGAGAACGTATTGTAAAGTGTTTACGTGGTGATGTACTCAAATATGCTCAACATAAATTTGCTTCTAATGTAATTGAAAAATGTTTAATTTGTGGAACAACTGAACAGAAAAATATTTTGATTGATGAAGTTTGTAATGAGTGAGTTTTTTTTTAATTTTTTGAATCAACCACAAAAAGTTATTTATGCACTCAGGGGAGTTGTTAAGGATTTTTACTTACTGGTTAGTCTTAAGGTTGGCTGTTCTCTGTTTTGTTGAGCCGAAAATAAACAGGATTTCTCGGTTCGATTTTTGGTTCCGGATAACTGAAGATTTCCCAGGAACCGCCAATCTTAATAGGCCTCGGGATTTTTAAAAAAGCTAATCCCCACTCGGGGGTGTGTCATTTGTTTAAGTGCCATACATGGACGACTAACACACCCAATAACTGCTGTCAGGCTTCGAACCTGATTGTGAGTCTTTCGTTAAGTGTAACTCGGGTGTGTTAACCACTACACCACAGCAGGGGCCAAAAATAAACGTGTGCCTGAAGGTTGAGTCGAACCTCAACCTTGCTCCACAGGGTCTGGCATTAAACAACTGAACTACACGAGCACACTTTTATTTTTATAAAAGAATTTTTTTCTTAAAGTGATGGAGCTCCAAATCCACAACTTCTTGAAATGATGAAGGATCCATTTGCAAATTATGTGGTCCAAAAGATGCTTGATGTTTCAGATAGTGCACATCGAAAGAAAATTATGTTTTCCATCAAAAGTCACATTCCTGCTTTGAGAAAATTTAATTATGGAAAGCACATTATCGGTAAGCATGAGTAATTTGATGATTTGATTAACTCTTCTTCTTTTTTTAAGCCAAATTGGAGAAATATTTTCAAAAGACGAATCCTGGTGTTCCATTTAGTTTAATATCTGGAGAACAATCACCACAACAACAATTTTCCAATACATCAGTCAACACAGCTGTTTCTAATAATAATAATAATTTTGAGAATGGACCGCCAATATATTAAAAAAAGAGGAAAAAAATGATGGTGAGATGTGACTGATTAAAAAAATTTTTTTTGCAGCAACTTGTGTATGAAAGTGAAAAAGTTAACAAACAAACACACAAAGATTGACAATTTTCAGGGGCATCACACACAGCAACAAAAAAGAGAAAAATTTCAATTTGTAATATGCGCAAAACAAACAACTACGCAAATATATATTTATTTTAATTTGGCAAAATAATATACAAATTATGTATTCTCGTATATTTTTCGGGGTTCTATTTTAGGGCATTCGACCTCTAGAAGCTTTTATGGGTCTCATGATCGTTCAAGATTCCTATTAGCGTTTACGCATCCCATCAGCATATACTTTACTAGGTGTCGGAAAAAGACAGGATCCGTGATTCCGCATGGGATTTCAGAAGTTTATCCAGGGATCCCAGGTTTTATGCAACGAACTGATTATATGATTAATCGTCTGGATCCCGCGAATGCGATCTTACTGGACTATCAGCACTTACTAATATTTTAGGGATCACATATACTCTGCTGTGGATGCTTAAAATTATCTCATGGGCCACAAAAAGCTCATGGTACGCATGCCCTAAACTAGGGCCTATTTATCTTGTTAATTATATATTTTTTCTTCTTTTTCGCTTATGCACATAACAGAATTTTGTCATTTATTTTCATCAATATATCCAAAATCCACCACCATAAAAATATATATCATTCTATTTAAACCTTATATATATAAATATATTTATTTTTAATATATATTTTTTTCCTTCATTTTTTTTTGCATACCTTGGCCCTAATTATATAAAAAAATTATTTTTTTTTGTGTGTTTTTCCTCTCCATTTTTTCCATATACATATATAAAAATATTTATTTTGCTCTATATTTTATTGTAAACGTCTTGTTGATTAAATAAATTTATTTTTAACAAGACAAAAAAATTTTTTTGTTTATTTAAAATTAAAAAAAAATATGTATTTTTTTTTCTTCTGAGGGATAAATTATGAAATTATTTTTAACAAATTTAATTTTCTCTAAAAAAAGATTTCACATTCTTTTTTTATTTTATTTTTGCCTTATTTTCTCTTAAAAATCATTTAATGTTGAGCAGCTCACCATTGATTTCATATTGTTTTTTACTCGCCTTCCTTTTGTTTTTGACAAAAAATCACGTTCACGTTGAGAATGTTTTCTGTTTTTATCGGGGTACATTCTGTTGGTGCGCGGCAAATTCGATAAGAGCCGGAAAGGATCTGGATTAATCCGGAGAACGGGACCGAATCCGGGTTATCTGGATTGACCCGATCCGGAAACATTCCGGTGATCGAATGTTTTGTGAATTGGAAAAAAAATTGGGACTTGGGATTTGGAAAATTGGATTTGGGACTGGATTTTTGGATTTGGGACACTGACGTAGGAACTATCCGGCCGGGTCTGGGCAGGCGTCGCGCACTGCATACTAACATCTCTGTTTTCCAATTGAGAGATTGAAATTGTATTGTATCACAAGCATTGTATTCTTCTAGTTTTTTTTTGCATTTCATATACTACTATTCTTGCAAAGACAATTGTAATATTTTGAAATTTCCAATCGCAATGTATTTTTTTTTGTTAAATTTATATAGTTTATCCTTCCACAATTTAAATGTTTTTACAAAATTGAAACGAAGAAAAATAAAAATATTTGAATGTTGCTTTTAATGGAAAATTCTTTTACTCCAAGTAATCCTCCGCGTTGTTTATTTTCTTGCTTAAATTCGTCTAAATTAATTGTTTTTACAGGGATTTGTTAGTTTTCCAATTTATAAAAAAATGCGACTTTTCGCTAGTATGCGTTCTTTTGCTTGCGCAAGTTTTCTTTGTGCTAGATACAAAAGTCTTAGTTTTGTTAATTTACAACAACAAAATGAGGAACAGGCTGTAAAGTTGTCTCGAAAGGTTTTTTTAAATTTAATAAAATTATTTTTAAAGAAAATTTAGATTGTTTCAAATGTCGATAAAAGTGGCCTGAGTCTTCGTTTATATCAATATCAGACATGCCCGTATTGTTGTAAGGTCCGTGCTGTTCTTGACTACTTTGGATTTTCTTATGAGGTTGTGGAAGTGAACCCTGTGACTCGTTCGCAAATTAACTTTACTGATTATAAAAAGGTTTGTTTTTGAATTTTGATAGGGTGAAAGTCGGGGGAAAGTGATTCCGGTGGAATTTATCTTTCTGGGTTGATACGGTCTCTAGAAAATCCGTCGGGATCAGTCCGACCCTGGTCCACTAGAAAAAGTCTGGGGTTGAGAGACTTTAACCTTTTAACAGTTAACTCAATTTTCTTCTTTCCTTTTATTGTCTCTGTTTGGTTAAGTGGTCTAAATTTGAGCTGCCTATGAAGGTTTCAATGACTCCGTGTTCCATTGATAATCTTTAATCATTTTGTTGCATCAAATGATGAATGTAGCGCTATCCGATGTTCTTTCGAGAACAAGTGAGCACTGACATAGTCATAGTTACTCTGATGATGCTTTTATAAAATTTCTTTTTTTTTCCCATAAAATAATTTTTGACATTTTAATGCAAAATCTAGGGTTGTTGCTGTACGAGCAATCTTTCCCTTTGGTGGCTCAAATAAAGAACACTAATTTTTTAAATTTTATTTTCAGGTTCCTATTGTTCGAACGCCTTGTTATGATCATCCGCTTATCGAATCTTCTTTAATAATTTCAATTTTGGCGACTTATCTAGTTAAACCTGAGGTTTTATTTTATACAAATTTTATTCAAAATTTGTTGTTGTTTTTAGTTGACATTTTCTGATGCGGTTGAACTCTATCCCAAGCATGTTTCAAAAGATGCAAAGACTGGAAAGGAAGTGACTGACTGGTTAAATAAATATTTTGTTATGTGGGGCGATACAAAACTTGATGATGGACAAATGCGGGATGTTAGGTTATTTTTGAAAATATTCTTGAAATTTAAAATTGGTTGGTAAAATTTCGTCATACACATGCCCCAGAAATAGGTTTGGGCAAACGTCCTTCGAAATGGGGACTTTTATCCGAACCGACCAAGGGCGTATCCAGGGGGGGGGGAATTAAAAAAATTTTCGCCTGCGGCGCTTAAAATATAAAAAGTTATGTACAAAAAAATTTGCCGTAGGAACGCAAGGTAAACGCCAAAAATTTTTGCGCCCACCCAGTGTTAGCCCCCCCCCCCCCCGAAACCGACCCCCTGGATACGCCCTTGGAACCGACCTATTTGACCCTAAAATCAGCTCAGTCTCTCGTTTCATTTTTGACCATTATGAGACCATATTCGGCATTAAAATTGAGGCTGGATCTTTATTTTGGTGTCATCGACCAAAATAAAAATTGGTGTCATCGAACTCTCACGAATTTCACATACTTTCACGAAATTGGGATATGACGGAATTTTTCCAAATTGTTTTATAGAGACGAACGTGAATGGCGCGAATGGGTCGACACTCATTTTGTTCATTTAATCTCTCCAAATGTTTATCGCACTTGGTCCGATTCATTGGCAACATTTCGTTGGTTTGAACAGGTTGGTGAATGGGAACGCAATTTTCCAACGTGGGAGAGAGTTTTGGCTGTTTATGTAGGTGCTGCAGCAATGTGGGGGATTTCGAAGAGATTGAAAAAGCGGTTTGTTCTTTGACTATTTTTTGAGGGGTGAGGGACAAAACCCCCGACTTCCAAAAACACTGTCCAGACAAAACCTCAACCCAAGGATTGTTTGTTTTGTTCCAGAAGGATTGTTCAACACTGATGTGAGAAAAGTTTTTCCAATAATGGGGAACATTGTCCTCAATGGAATAACCTTCCTTGTAGTTGGAAACACAACCCTCTGTAAAAAATCAAAAACATCCTTCACGCCAAAATAGCCCCAACCTATTGAAACGCATTATTTTTTCTTTGGGCGGTGTTCGGGCGGCGGGGATTTTAGGTTTACCTGACACGGGTTTGGGAGTAGATTTCTTTTAAAAAATCCTTTTTAAAATTTACGAGGTATCCAAAGTCAATAAATTATAGGCATCATATTGTTGACGAACGCGAGGAGATGCGGAAAGCTTTTGACAAATTTATGAAAGCAAAAGGACCAGAAAGGAAATTTATGGGAGGTGAACAGCCTAATTTGGGTATTTTTTTAAATTTATAATTTTCTTATTTTTGTTTAAATTCAAAGCTGATTTGGCACTTTTTGGGGCTTGTAATTCCTTTTATGGCTGTATTGCATTTTCTGAAATGTGTCAATATGACAAACGACTTGTTGAATGGTTTGAAGCAATGAATTTGGCTGTTAAAGAAGCGAGAGGAAAGAAATTGCTTGAAGCAAAATGTAAATTTGTAAAAGAAGGGAAATAAAATTTGAAAGTTAGTTTTTTAAAGACTTTAGTTTATTTTAATTAGAATAAGTGTTCGGCAAATGGTTTTTTTCGAGTTGGTTTCGGGTTCCTTGTTTGGCAATATAACCGGATCGGATATTTCTGGGTTAATCCGGTCTGGAAATAGTCTAGAGATCACGAAAAAACACGGATTTGGGATAGGATAGTTCTTGGCAGGTTAACCCCGCCCGGTTAACTTTGCCCTGCAGCTGGGCAAAAAGAGAAGAGAGAATAGAAAAGAGAAAGAAAGACCCGGAACAAGGAAAAGCTAACCGGGCGGTTAACAGGCCACGAACTGCCCTAATTTAGGACACGATCTCTGAAAAAAATTCGATTGGACCCGGTCAGGTTCTGAACACTAATTATGACAAATATTTTGTTTATTTTTTTTCTGTTTGTTTTTCGTTTTGTAAATTATTTTTTAAATTTATTTTTGTGAATATTAAAAAATTTAAATTTGTTAAATTTTCACAATATTTTTATATTATCTTGTTGTAATATTTTCGTATATAATCCTTTTTTAGTCTGTTTTAGAGGATTTTTATGTTATTCAAAACAAGATATTTTGTACTATCTAATTTTGGATTTTATTTGCGCTTTTTGACTGATATTGGTAGGTAATTTATATATTTGTTTAGGTGTGCTTTTAAGGGAAGGAGGGGATTTTGGGTAGATATATAGTGGTCAAAATGGGCTAAATAATAGTAAAAGCCAAGTGAAAATTGTTTTCATTTTCTGTCAAATGGGAAATTAGATCCCGGTTTATTTTTATATTTTTTCTAAAATTGTTGGCGACAGGATATTAACCAGTACTCCCAAGGTTTTCAGGCCTGGTTTGCCCCCTCCCCTCTGGTTTTCTGCTCCGGTTCGGCTGATCGTCCGCCGACAATGATTGACCAGATCGTTGTTTTCCTGACCTCTAGGTTATTAAGGAAAATTTTAGTGTTTGGTCATTGGTCGACTCCATGTTTTTTCGTAAAAAAGCGAAACAAATATTTTTAAACCCTTTTTAATCCTCAGCTCTGCAGACATTTTTCCCTATTTCCCTCTTTCCGTGTTGACTTTTAAGCTGGTAAATGCTCCCTTAGATTATTTTAGAGTAAAATTGTATAAAATAAGTGCACCCAATTTGTTGTTTCACTCAATATATTTTTTTAAAAAAATCTCCTTTGGGTGTAACAAAAAAGGAACACCTCTTCCTCTCTAAAAATAAGGAAAAAGACAAGGGAGGGACCATCTTTTTAATAAAAGTGACAATACCATCGTCATAGGTTGTCAATAAACGTAAACATATTTTTGTTTTTTTCCGAAAAGGGTGAAAAATAAATTCGCGATTTTTACTTTTTAATTCGCATGAAATCCAGCAAATGACAAAAATTGGCGATAAAACGGCTGTAGTTTAAAAATTTTCGACGAAAATGGCGATAAAACGGCCTTAGTGAAAAAATTTTTTGTCGAAAAAGAGTATGGAAAAACGAGAGATGCGAGGCATAAAAACAAATGTGAGCGTTATTTTACCGTTTAAATTTTGCGCGGCGTTAGTTAGACTTTTATCCGGATGGATTTAATTTTTCGAATTTCCGTCCATTGTTCCATAAAAATTGCGAGATTTCTGCTTTAACCAAAGCCTTTGCGTGTTAAAGTTCAGTCTAATAAACAAACAATCTCCACGTCTTTTTTAAGCATTTAATACTCTTTTAGTTTTTAGGAATTTTCCCCGCCTTTATAAAATGCAGGCATTTTCTTTCTTTCCAAACAAAAACTAAAAAAGTGCTGTGTCCTACCAGTATTTCCAGTGTTTCTTTTCCTTTTTGTATAGCGGCTAGTTTTTTTAGAGAGTGGCACGCTATGGGTTTTCCCTCTCTTTTTTTAGTTTTTGTGATGGCATTTTTATCGTTCATTGTTTTTCCTTTTTAGCTAGTTGAATAGTTTTGCACTTTAAACAATAAAAAAATTTTTTAAAGCATTTTTACATTATTTTTTAAAGAATTCATTCAATTATTAACTCAACACAAAAATGGAACTTAATTTTGATTTGAGCTCCTTGTCAATTCCTGGATGTGTTTTGAAGTCACCACTTTCTAAACTCGAAAATTCCAAAATTCAGTGGGCACGAAAAGCGCGACAACAATCTGAATTTTTGCTTTTGAGTCGTGCAATTGATGATTTGGCAAAGTTGTCTGCTGAGGTTTTTTTGAAGTTTAAAATTTTTGAAATTAATTACTTTTAAAGGCCCAATCGATTAAAAAGCCTGTCACGACATTTGAGCGTTTTTTGGATGCTCAGGATGAACAGGCACTTTATCTTCTCTGGAAAGACGAAAAAATAAATGGATGTGGGGAAATTGGTGATGGAACTGTTGCTAATGGAGAAAAGAATGGAGAGATTAAAAATGGTGGTCATGAAGATTTGTTGGCTGTTTCACAAAATGGAACTACTCCAAAAAATGTTTTGCTTGGATATTTGAAGGTATTTTTAGTTTTTATGTGTTGTTGAGTGTTTTACGGAAGATTTTGGAGATGTGTTTTATAATACTCAGGGCAACTTCGACGAGACAAGACTTCGACTGATAAAACTCCGTCTTATCAAAAACCGACTTACCAAATCTTTCTCAGAGAAAAATTTGCATTTTCAATTGGTTGGTGTATTTCGGCTGGCTTAGATTTTAGGTTAATCGTGGCCGTATACCATGAAAAATTTTTTTGGTTCGACGGAGTTTTGTCAGCCGGAATTTAATTTGGACTGATTTTCGGAAATTGAAGTTTTGCCCTTTTCCCTTTTATGATTCGTATGTTTCAAAAAAAATTTTTCCTTAAAGATTGTTCGTGATCGTCGTCTTTATTTGGTAAATGAACGCAGTCGTCGTTATGTTCACACGCCTATTTGTGTTTTGGATTTTTACATTCATTCTTCTGTTCAGCATCACGGTTGTGGACTTGAATTGTTTAATGGAATGTTGAAGGTTTTCTAAAAAAAATTTTAGTATTTTTTCATAAATTATTTTTACAGTCAGAGTCAACAACACCGCAGAAATGTGCATTTGACAAGCCATCATCTTCATTACTTCACTTTTTGGAGAAGCATTATGGTCTTAAACACCCAATTTGGCAACCAACAACTTTTGTTGTTTTTCCTGAATTTTTTGAAGGATTAAAGCCAGAAGATGGAGGAAAGGATGAAATAATTGACGATCATCAAATGTCAGCAATTGAGCGTAACAGGAAAAATATTAATGAGCATTATAGTGGATCACCACAGCATTTACCAGTAAGAAGGTTTTTTTAATTGTGTAAGTGTGGTAGAGGTTTAGCACGGACAATGATCCTGCGTCGTCTTTGTAGTTATTGCTAGGAGTTTTCGCTCACCAATGTCAGGTGCTCTATCGACTGACACGAGCTGGACCGGGTCATACGGGATTTTAGGGGTTTTTCTAGATTTTTAAGCGATGAAAAATATTTACAGGATTAATCTCGTTGAAGCCTTCCCGCTTGATTTTTTAAACTCACAATCAGTCCCGTCACAGGATCACGGGAATGCGATTTTGCTGAATTTTATCTTACATAAGCCTCCCCCTAATAGGCGGATCTCACTTCTTTCTTAAAATTGTAAAAAAAATTAAATTTTCAAAAATAGGTTCACGGACAGCGTAATTTGACTTCTCATTGTACTACTCAATCATCCATGAAAGATCATATTGGAGAAGACACTCCTCGTGGACGAAAGAATACGAGGGATTATGGACATCAATCATTGTGGTAGATAATGGACTGTAAAAGTTTTTTTTGATTGTATTATTTGGAGATCGGGGATTTTAAATAAAACTTTGGTTCTTGATTTTGGTTGAGGACCTTGACATTGATTCTTCAACTTGTTCAAGATCTAGGGTCAACCTTGAATCTTGAGTCTGATTGTGAGTCAAGAAAAGACTCAAGGAAAAACACTGAAAATTGCCTTGATCTTGAGCAAGGTCTCGATCCATTTCCAGGCCGATCTCTACTATTATTTAATCATTTCAGTTATTTTATTAATAATATTTCCATTTTTGAATAAAAATTAATATGAATTCATGAATTTTAATAATTTTTTTATTCAATATTGTTATAACAATTTTATTCCTTTTTTAAAACTTAGAGTTTTTATTGTTTTCAATTTGATGAGAATTTATTGGAGGGAAGATGGGGTTTTGGCCTCTCCATCTTTATTGGATTGTTTCCATGGAAACAATTTTTGCGAACTCAAATTTTGACAAATTTTTAAAATAAATTTCCTAAATTCCCTGAGATTTTAATTTTGTTGCTTGATGAAATTAAAATATTTGAATGGAATTGTAAGCCCTTCGGTGAGTTAAAAAAATTTTTTTTTAATTTGAGCTTCTTTTACAGGACGAGATTGCCTGTGCCGGAGCACTTTGTTTTTCCCCTAATGGACGTAAACTAGCTGTTTGTACATTGGATAGACACGTGTTATTGTTTGATGATAAATTCCGAAGAAGAGATAAATTTGCAACGAAACCGGTTGATTCGAAGGTTTTTTTGAAAATTTATTTCTTAAATAAGTACCTTTATTTTCAAGTATGGAAAGACTGGCTATTTAATAAAAAGTGCTTCATTCTCTCCTGATTCAAATAAATTAGCTATTGGCCAGACTGATGATATTGTATTTGTTTATAAATTGGGTGAAAATTGGTTAGTTAATATTTTATTTTTCAAGATATTTTTTGCTACTTCCCTATATTCTGCCAAACAGGCAAAACAGGCAACACTACGTTTTGCCAGTAAGGCCGAGATTTTTTAGTCTTATCGGCAGAATAAGGGTGAGACATTTTTTTGTTTTATTTCAGGGACGAGAAGAAAGTAATTTGTAATAAATTTGCACAATCCTCTTCATGTGTTGCACTTATATGGCCAAGTGAGAGCAAATTAATTATTGGTCTGTTAGATGGAAAAATTCGTCAGGCATCCACAAATTCAAATAAATGTTCTACTCTTTATAAAGCTTCTGATGGTGCAAGTGTTTGTGCAATCGCTCAACAGTTTGCTTTAAAAATAAATTTTTTATAATTTTTTTTTAAATTTTAGTCCAAACAAAAGGTCATTTTTATCTGGTCATGAAGATGGTTCAATGTTTTTGTATTCATTTGATTCGCGATCTCATGTTTGATTTTTTGACAAAGTTTTGTTAAGGTTAGGGTTGGTTTGGCTGACAATGACACATATTGACCTGACGCTCCCGACCATTCGGGACAGGAGTGTCTGGAATCGGGTTTGCCGGACTAGAGCTGCCGGGGTTCGGTCAGGGCTGATCGAAATAAAAAATTTTCATTTCGAAGCGAAACGAAATTTCGATCAGCCCTGGATCGTGTCGTTGTCTTTCCCTAAAAAATAGTTGGGGTTTCTATGGACGGGGTGATACCTTAATTAAAGACTTAAAATTTAGATTCGTGTTTGTGTACATACTTGTGCGCCTTATGCTCTTATTCTCTCGCAAGTAGGCATTTTGGCAGCTGGGTCTGATCGTCGATTAGTCTCTTATACAGAAAATGGACGTCTTCTCCAACAATTTGATTATAGCAGAGAGCCTTACTTGGAAAAAGAATTTTCTGTGGCAACTTTGGATACGAGTGGATTAAATGCCGTTTTTGGGACTTTTGATAGGTTTTTTTAAAACTTTAAAAATTTCGTGCAAAAATTTTTTTCCCAGATTTCATTTAATGTCTTGGAGTCAAAGAAGAGGTGCTTGGGATGAAGGAGGTGTTCTAAATATTCGAAATTTATATACAATAAAATCGCTTGCTTGGAAATCTGATGGATCAATTTTGGCTTGTTCAAATATGTTAGGGGCTGTTATTGCAATTGATTGTTCTATGAAGGTTAAAAATTTTTTTTTGGTATTTTATGTTTATCACTTGTCTCCTATTTTGAGTCTCATAATTCAATGGTAATGTTCAGCCACTCTTATAATGGTCAGACTTCCTTCCTCAAGTATATTTCCCTGTGTATATTTCCCTGTGGCATGTTCTAATAAGAGTACAAGGAAGAAAATCTGACCATTACTCACACTATGAGGCGGGGCGGGATAAACATAAATTACTTTTTCTAATTTCTGAAAATTTTTAAAAATTTATTTAAAGAAAACTTTATTGAAAAATCGATTTGAGTTAACTTTTGTGTCACCTTCTCAAGCAATTTTAAAGGATTTACAATTACCAAGTGAGAATATTGATGAAGATAATGGTAAAAAAGAAGAAGAAAATATTAAATTAAAACAAAGAAATGATACAAACGATTCTGGAATGGTTTTACGTTCAAAAATTGGAGCAGAATTGGGAGAAGTGAGAATAATGGGAAGAGAGCAAAGATATGCTATTGTTTATACTCCAAGTACTTTAATACTGGCTGATATCTGGACAGGATTGGTATATATTTTTTTGTGACCTTACTATAAGGTACATCCTCGGAACTGACCTTATGAGATACCCCTTGCGTTCTGGTCTTACTATCCCCCTTTGAGTTGAAAAATTGTATAGTTTTTTAAATAGAGGGTATCGCGTAGGCACGCCCCCACCTAGTGGTCAGCCAAATTTTAAATTTTCTCTTAAATGGAGGGGGGCGAGTTTGGTATTAAAATTTTCTTTCTATTGGGGGTCTGTTAGAAGGATTTGGAGGGAAATTTTGGTTTTTGGGAAATTTCTTGGATCGGATTTCGGACCTTATACATATTGAGTTCTCTAAAGTTTTTTTCATTTAACTAGAGCTCAGAAATTTCATGGCAATCTGGAGGAAATGAAAAATTTTATTTGGACAATGAAAATGTTGCTTTTATTGTAAATGCTGGTGAAATTAATTTTGTAGAATATGGGCAAGATGAATTAGCTGGTTGGATAAGAACAGAAAGAGCAAATCCACACCAAATTAGTGTTAGAATACGTCGATCAAAACAAAATAGTAAAGAAATGATTGAAGATGTAAGAAGAGTTGCTTATTTATTGGACGTTCGAACAATTAGCATTATTGATATGGCTAAAAATAATCAAATTGGACATATTCAACATAATATTGCTATTGATTGGCTTGAGGTTTTTAAAGATTTTCTTTATATTTTTAAGGACTACCCTAGTAGGGGATTTGACCCAGAAGGTCATCGAGACCCTGAAGGCCAGATTGCTCTGAATGCCAACTTGAAATATTTGGGTGGTTAAAAGGGAGTTGGCGATCGGAGTTGGTTAAAAGTGAGTTAGAGATCTTCTCTCTCTATCTCCGACAAATCCATCTTAATCCACCCAAAATCACAAATCCTTAATCCGCGCAAATTCTGCTTTTTCCGTCCAAATATTTGGATTTGACCTTTAGTGTCATTAGGTTTCGACCTTCTTGATCATATTTTTATAATTAAATTTTTGTAGTTAAATGAGAGAGCCACAAAACTCTTATTTCGCGATATTCGCTCAGCTCTTCATTTATTCTCTTTGGAAACAAAACAAACAGTTCATTTAATTGGGCATTGTTCTTATGTTCAATGGGTGCCTCAAAGTGATGTTGTTGTTGCTCAATCAAATTCTCAGCTTTGTGTTTGGTTTGTTTTTTATATTTTGGAAATATTTTGAGGACAATTTGTAATTTTTTGAAGGTATAATACAGATGAAAATACAGACAGAGTTAATCAATTCCCAATTCTTGGTGATGTTGAAATGGTAGCGAGGGATGCGTCAAGAACTGAAGTTATTGTTATGGTTTGTATTTTTGTTTAGAATATTTTTAAATAAAAATTTCTGTAGGAAAATAATACAAGGGTCGCTTATGAATTGGATAGTGCAATGATTGAATTTAGTTCTGCGCTAGATGAACTCGATTTAGGTCGTGCTGTTCTCTTTTTGGAACGGTCTGAACAACGAGGAATTGGAGTGCAAGCATTATGGAGAAAATTAGCTGATGTTGCTCTTGAGGTTCTTTTTTTTGACAAAATTTTATTTAAATTTGTTATTGGCACGAGAGAGATGCCGTACGGGATTTTATCCCGTCCCGTAAATTCCGGGTTAATCTCTCGGAATCCCTCCCTTTCGATCCTTTGAAACTCAAACCTGTTATGGGATCCCGTGGATGCGATTTTGTTGATCACTAATTTAAAACCCACCCATTTTTTAGCATTCACATCTTTTTGTTGCTCAAAGATGCTTTGCTAGTCTAAATGATCTAGTTCGAGTTCAATTTTTACAAGAGACACTTCTGAGAGCTGAAAGTCAATTTGGAATGCCTCTTGACTCTCAAGCATTATCAGAACATTTTGAAGTACAATCAAGACTTGCAATGATGACAAAACAATTTAAACGGGCTGAACGAATTTTGCTTGAAAATAATGCAATTACTGAAGCAATAGACATGTGGAAAAGAATTGGAGATTGGGAGAGTGCTATTCAATTAGCTAAAGCTATGGTAAATTTCAAAAAAATTTTTGTCGTTTAAAAGTTGTTTTTTTAGAATTACTCAGAAATCGATTCACTCCAAGCCCAATATGAACAATATTTGAATGAAACTGGTCAAAAGGATAAAGCTGCAGAGCTAAAAATGCGTGATGGTGATAGTCGTGCAGCTCTAGAACTCTTTTTGAGAGCAAATCAACCTTCCCAAGCAGTTCAATTATTGCTTGACAATCACCAACTTCTTTCACAATTGAAGACTAGTGAACTTGGGAATGAAGAAGAGGACGATGAGGAAGAAAGTAATGGAATAATTGGACAAATAATTCAAAGTTTGCAGCAGCAGGAAATTTTTGATAAGGTTTGGTTCTGATTTCTTAGGTTTTTTAGGTAAGTGATGGATTGGGTTGAGAAAACATTGGTTCGATTCAAAACTGTTGGATTTCGGGTTAAAAGTCTGGGGTACTGGATTTTGGCTAACTTGGACCCATCCCTGATATTTATAATTAAAAAAATATTTAAGCTCGGTGATTTATACGAAGCATTGGAAAAGCCAGAAAAAGCTATGGACGCCTACAACAATGGAAATTTTTATGGAAAAGCAATCCAGGTTATTTTGTATACTTTAAACGATTTTTTAAAAATTATTTTTCATTTTAGATTGCTCGAATTCATTTCCCTGAGGGTGTGATTCAATTAGAAGAAAATTGGGGTGATTGGCTTTATTCTCAGGGAAATTATCACTTGGCAGCTACACATTTTCTCGGTTTTTTTTTAATTTTTAAAATTTATTTCCCTCAATTTTTGAAGAATCTGGGAACACTCTTCGTGCAATTGATGCTTCAATACTTGCCAAGGAATGGGACAAAGCATTGGATATGTTAAAATCAATAGAATCAACACCCGAAACAACGCCATTTTATGAAAAGATTGCACATAACTTTGAGTTGACTGGTGAATTAGAGGTCTGATTTTGAATTTATTTGTAAAAAATTTTTTTTTAAGAAAGCTGAATCTCTTTATACTCTTTCTGGCAAATTTGCTGAAGCTGTAGAAATGTATAACAAAGCAGGAAATTGGGCTAAAGCTTTTAAGTTGGCAGCAGACTTCTTTGGACTCGAAGAAAGTCGACAACTTTATAGTGATAAAGCAGCTCAATTGGCAGAGCAACGACGTTTTAATGATGCTGAAGAGGTTTATTTTTTATTCGAAGAGACTTTCAATCTCTTTTTAAAGCTTTATGTTGCACTTGGTGCACCTGATCAAGCAATTGCTATGTACAAACAAGCTGATCGTACCGATGATATGATGCGTTTAATGGCCATTTATTATTCTGGAGAAGTTACGGTTTGGTTTTTCATGATTTTTGGTTGTGATATAAATTTTTTGATAGACCGCACAAAGGCGTTTAGCTGAAGAATTTGAACAAAAAGGAGATTTACGTGCAGCAGAAGAACAATATATGCTTGCTGGGGACTGGGCAGCTGCTATAGATATGTATCAACAAGCTGGACAGTGGGCTGATGCTCATCGATTGGCAAAAGCGAGTGGAGGTGAAAGGGCGCATAAACAGGTTTTCGAAAAATTTTCAAAAATTTTTCAAATTAATTTTATTTGAAAGATCTCTTATTTATGGGCAAAGAGTTTAGGAGGAGATGCAGCTGTTAAATTGTTGCTTCGACATGAATTGTTAGATGAAGCTATAAATATTTCTGTGACTAAAAGGTTTTTTTAAATTTCTAAAAATATTTAAATTTGTTTGTTTGAAGTGATTTTGACTTTGCCTTCGAATTATGCCGTCTTGGAGCAGGTCATCGATTACAATTTGTTCAACAAAAATATGCAGAACACTTGGAAGATGAAGGGGAACTTGATAAAGCTGAGGTTTATTTAAATAAAATTAAAAGAATAAAATTATTTTTTCTTCAAAGGAGCAATATTTGCTTGCAGGGAAAGCACGTGAAGCAGTTATTATGCGAATACATAACCGAAATTGGGAAGCAGCTGAACGAATTGCACAGTATTATTTAAAATATCTTACATCCGCTTTGTGTCCCATATTGGGTCCAATCCAAAGGGTCACCCTGGGGTCGCCCCAGCCCTGGGGTCAACCCCAAGTTGATCGTAGATGTCAACTCCCCTACAGGACGTTGATCTCTAGGGCTTCTAGGAAGTTAACCTTACAGTTTGATCCTATTTTGAACTTTACCTTATAATTCTAGGGAGCAATGCCCAGAAGAATTGCCTGAATTATTTGTTCAACGAGCTCGAGATGCTATTGAAAATGTGAGAGGAAACCTTTAAAATCTACTTTATTTATTTATCTTTTAGCGAGATTTTGCCGTCGCCGAGAGTTATTTACTACGTGCAAATCGTCCAGATATTATTTTGGCATTTTATCGAGAATCAGCTATCTGGCAAGAAGCATTGCGTATTGCAAGAGATTATTTGCCTGATGAATTACAAAAATGCCAGGTTTTTTTAAAATTGTTGAAGAAAATTATTTTAAAATTCAAGTCTGACTATGAAGAATATCAACTTCTTTCGGGTGCAAAAGGTGCGCATTCATTAATAGCCCAAGCAAAGGAATGGGAACGACAAAGCGAATATCGTCGAGCTGTTGATTGTTGGATGAGAGTTGATGGATTAACGCAAGACCAACAAATTGTTTCGCAATCATTGGCTAAGGTTTTTTTCGATTTTTAAAAGGGAAATTAATTTTTTTTCACAGGCAGCAGAATTAATAGTTAAATTTTTGGCTGATTCAGACGAAGAATCAATGGATTTGCTTACACAAGTTGGACAACGTCAAATGGCTTTACGCCAATTTCTTGCTGCTGGTGAAACTTTTTTGCTTGCTGATAAGCCAGTGGATTCAATCAAGGCTTTACTAGAAGGGCATGAATGGGCAAAGGCGAAACGGGTTATTTTCTGTGGAAAATATTTGTGATAATTTTTATTGTTATTTAATAGGTAGCTGAACAGCTTGCCCCGGAACTGGAGCAACACGTTGATGAAACGTATCGGGAATTCCTTCGCACACACGGACGTATAGGTGAACTTATTGACGTTGATGTTGTTAGTGCAATTGATATGCTTGTTCAATCCGGCAATTGGGAGAAGGCTTTAAATACTGCTAAACAACAAAAGGTTTTTTGATTAGTTTGGGGAACACTGGGGACTTTTCCCTTATTTTCAATTTCTATTCTCTTTTTAGCATCGACCTCTTCTAGACAAATATTTAGCTGCATATTCAACAGAATTACTTGCGAATGAACAATTTGAACAAATTTTGGATATTTTCCGAAAATATGGAGCTTCATTCAACCCACAATTGTTGCCCATTTATGATACTTTAGTTGATAAGGTTTTTTTAATTTTGAGAATTCTTTTCAAATTTAATTTTTAAAGCTTTTAAATGCACGTCCAAATAATATTAATTACGAAACAATTGCAACTTTGCGTGATTTATTGCTAGAAATATTTCAACAAATGACAGAACAGACAGATTCAACAACAGCAACAGATGAAGTTACTGCTCAATCAATTCAAGTTTAAATTTCAAAAAAATTTCTAATTGAAAAATCTCCTTTCTTTAGCATTTTGAAAGATGCCTTTTTGCTACTCATTTCATAGCATTTCAAAAAGCTTTGGATCTTGTGGTTGAGCAACAGGAGCAAAAACAAAAATCTACTACACACCAAACAATGGATGGTTCTATTTCTACAATTAATGAAGAATTGAATGTATTAAGACTTCGATTGGGCATTGCTATTCTGAGGTTTTTTGGATTTTATAGAAAAGAATGAGATTTCCTATTTTAAGATATATTGAACCAATACGACCAGATAAAGCATTTTATGATGCTGGAAGTGCTTGCAAGGTTAATTTTTGTTTACTCATTTAAAAAATTTTTTTTTAAGTTCTGGGGTGGCACAGATTACGAAAATATGACCTTCCTTTTGTTCAACCATCTTTTGGATATTTTGGATGCAATTGATGAAGATGATCCTAATTTGGTGGATAATGGGCTTTTTGAAGGAACAGATATACCTACAAGTTATGCCCTTCCAATGAATAAATATTTGAGTGTATGTTTTTTTTGAGAGTTTAGGAAAAAAATTTGATTTTTTGAAGGTATCAGAACAAGAAGAAGTCAAAGAATGGGTTTTAGCCATTTCTGTTGGACGTCAAAATATAGAAAAACAATTGAAATTGGATAAAGAACGTGAAAGTTATGAAGCTAGTTCAATCGATTCCCTTGGAGATGATTACCCGATTTGTGTTATTTCAGGTTTTTTTAAAGAGTAAATTTTTAAGCATAAAATTTTCTTTTCAAAAGGTTATCCTGTATTAGATGAAGGTCATCAATTAGGCGGCGGAAGAGTGGCAACACACCAAGCAAGGGCCACATTTACTGCTTTGGCTAAACAAAACCCAACTGACGAGCTTTTTGATATACAACAGTTTTTGGCAAAATGGGCCGGTGTTTCTAATTGAAAAGTTTTTTGGAGGAAAAAGGTTATATTTTTCTAGTCATTTTTAAGCATTTTTTGACAATAATAGTTTAAAAATACGAAAAAAACCCGCGTCGAAATAGGTCTTTGAAATCGCCCATCTTTATCTCTGAATTTCCATTTCATCCTCCATGTAATGTAGAAATGAACGTAACAGTGTCTCCATCGTTTAAATCAGCATTCATCTTTAAAAAAAGGAAAAATTGTAAATAACTCAGGAATATGGGTTTATTCATCTAGCACGGCTTCTAATCACCCCAATAAACAACTTTCTCTCCCCTACGGTTTTGACCATTTCGAGCCCCATATCTTAACCTAAATTATCAAACCCCAAATAATTTTGGCGTCATTCGTCTATCTCGACATCTTTTTCGAAGGACATGTATTTTGTTCATATTCCGAAGTGGAAGTTTTTTCCCCAAATTTTGATTTAATTTTAAATCATAAATACTTACCCCTCCAATAATTTCCCAATCTGTTTGATTAACAAGTACTAAAACTCCTGGCCGCACTGTGTTTCTTTGAATAAGCATATCTTTGCGTTCATTATTTTTTAACATATTTTGTTCCATCCATTCCAATAATCCCTTTATTGTCAACTTTGTTGTAGATAATTCAATTTTGCATTCTTTCTTTCCATCAAAAATTACTTCAAGACCACCAGAGAATTCAAGAAGTATTTGCTTGTTGGTTCCCATTTCTTGCAGAAAATTTGTCCTTTTGTTTTGTTTCCGTTCGTTTTTTTCTTTTTGCTTAACTATTTTCTCTTTTCGTTCTCTATTTTTAATAGAAACATAACGCCAAGTTTATTTGGGATCAATTGGCTCCTATACAACTCATCTAATCGTTAACTCATCTATTCGTTAACTCATCTACACGGCCAAAAAGGGTTAACTCATCTAATCGTTAACTCATCTATTCGTTAACTCATCTACACGGCCAAAAAGGGTTAACTCATCTAATCCTTTAGAACGAGACTATTGAGTACCAGTCGTTTGAGTCTCTGGCCATCTGAGTCTGGCCGTTTGAGTCTCCGGCCGTTTGAGTCTCTGGTAAGCAGGGTCCATGGCCGTTTGAGTCTCTGGTAAGTAGGGTCCATGGCCAGTTGAGTCCATGACCAGTTGAGTCCATGGCCAGTTGAGTCCATGACCAGTTGAGTCCATGGCCAGTTGAGTCCATGGCCAGTTGAGTCCATGACCAGTTGAGTCCATGACCAGTTGAGTCCATGGCCAGTTGAGTCCATGACCAGTTGAGTCCATGGCCAGTTGAGTCTCTAGCCGGTTAAGTCCCTGGTCAGTTGAGTCCCGGCCGTTTGAGTGGTTGATTACCGCCGGTTGAGTCTTGGGCCGGTTGAGACTCAACTGGTCATGGACTCAACTGGTCATGGACTCAACTGGCCATGGACCCTACTTACCAGAGACTCAAACGGCCATGGACCCTGCTTACCAGAGACTTAAACGGCCGGAGACTCAAACGGCCAGACTCAGATGGCCAGAGACTCAAACGGCCATGGACCCTGCTTACCAGAGACTCAAACGGCCGGAGACTCAAACGGCCAGACTCAGATGGCCAGAGACTCAAACGACTGGTACTCAATAGTCTCGTTCTAAAGGATTAGATGAGTTAACCCTTTTTGGCCGTGTAGATGAGTTAACGAATAGATGAGTTAACGATTAGATGAGTTGACCCTTTTTGGACGTGTAGATGAGTTAAGGAATTTTAGCCGTTTAGATGAGTTGAACGTTTTTGGCCGTGTAGATGAGTTAACGAATAGATGAGTTAACCGGACACGGGATCAATTTTCATTTTTACATTCTTCTCTTTTTCTCTTTCCTTAAGTCTCTCTTTTCTTTTCAAGTCTTATTCAAAACTTCCTTGTCTTTTTTTTTTAGACTCTTCCACATCCTATCAATCCACATTTTGCCAACAAAGCTAAAACTTTACGTTTTGTCAATAAGGTTGTTGGCCAAATGCAGGGTTTTGGCCTTATTAGCAAAATATGGTTTTGGCAAAACGTGTTTTAATCTTATTTCGAAATTTCGCTTTTTACTTTTATTTTCATTGAGCTCGAGACCAACTCCGTCTTGAATCTTCGAGTTGATAATACAAGACTTGAGGCTGTTCAGCACCCATTTTTATCTTTCTGGGGCTAGTTTCCGTTTTTTGTTTACGCGAATTTGGTCTAAATTCTGTGCGTGTTCATATTATTTCCCTTTCTCTTTTTTTATTAGTAAATAAATTTTAATTTCACAAAATGACTGATCGTTTAAGTACATATTAGTAAGAATTTTTATCATAAATATTTATCATTTTGTTAAACCGATTATCGTCACTTAATTTTCACACTTAGAAAGTGTCATTTTAATTTATTTCATCTAATTTTGTTATTTATGTATATGAGATTCATTTCTGAAGACCTTTTAACCCTTAAAACCTTCCTCTTTTAACGGAACTACCGAGGGATTAAGGTTGATAATGTGGTATTATGAGTGGTGTATCATAACTCTGGGTGTCTCTATCTTCTTCAATCACGCCAGATCCATCAATATCTCCTTTTTGATATCCCCCTTCAATCTTTATACGTGACTCATATTATCTATCGTCTTAGCAACAACTTTTAAAAAAACTTCTTTTACTCAACGCTTCCCTAGTAAATGCCGCCAAGTTTTATTTTTCTTCTAACGGCACTAAGCATTTCTAGAAATTAATCCTAGCATTGGAAATGACATTTTTTTGTTGTTTTTTGTCTTATTTTGTAAAAAAAGTAGATGCTTTACTATTTATTTGTCTCGTGTATTGTTATAAATTAGTATATTTTTCCTGTTAGTGTAGGTTAGCCTCTCTATTTTTTACCCTCCAAATATTAACATGAGGGAGAGGTTTTCATTGATTTAAAAAAATGAAGGGCAGCTAGATGAAAACAAGACGTGGAGTAAATAAATAGAGAGAGTGAGTGACACAAAAATTTTTATTTTTCTTTTAAAAACTGGTTTTTTGTACCATTTTTGTTATATAAATATATTTTTATATTTAATTTAATAATAATTTTTTCAAATTTTCAGATTTAAATCAAAATATTTATTCCTTAAATTAATTGGACAACAGACTATTTTTTCAATTTTTCACAACTCAACGAAAAAAAAACGAGATGAGTCATCAACAGCCGAATGCACCGCCTCCCTACGGTTCTTTTTTATTTTATTTGTTCTTATTTACATTTCTCGTTTACAGATAGTGCGCAAAAATATTCTGCTTATCCGGACATTAACATGCAAGGTTTGTTTTTGCTCTTTTATTTTTAAATTTCCGGCTGCCTGTTGTTGGAAGTATAAAATCTTTTGTTAAGTACTTCTGTGGTTTGGCGGGTGTGTTCTTGACTTTTGGCAGGTTAGGCACGGTTCGATTCCGGCTGGGGAAAATTAATTATTTTTGACTATTTAAAAGATTTTTAAACGGTTTTTAAACAACTTTAATTTAAAATTTTTGTTGTCAAAATTTTTTGATTATTTTTGATAACTAAATTTAACGTTCTCTTTACAAAAATTATTTTTCTGTGGCCATTATTTTTATCGATAATTTAAATTGTTCCTCTCAAAATATTAGCTGCTTATCTCTTACTCACCTTTCAAATGCTTTCCAAGGGAGAGAGAAAGGTTACACACCCATTTTCCTTTTTTTATTGGTATAAATAAATGAATCATTATTGAAATTATTTTAAAAATTTCACCTTTTTTCCTTTTCATTTAATTAAAAAATTTTTTAGGCGATCCTTACCAACCAAATATGCAAAATCCATACCCGCAACAACAGGCGCCACAACAGCCTGCACCTACGACGACTTATGTTTATGTTAATGATGGACAGCGCCCGCCGTTTGGACCACAACCGCAAAATGTTTGTTTATTTTTAAGTTTCTTTGACCTTAAATTAGGAGGGGACCCTATGGGGTTTCAGTTTTTCCAATTAGGTTCAAAATCCAAGATTCTGAGATGTTATGTTTTCGATGTTTGGACTAGAGAAAAGTATTTCCGGCTCGACGGCATTTTACGGGATTATGTGCTTATTTTGGCCTTAACTTGGGAAGTACGAAGCCCTGTAGCCTGTTTTTCATTTTATTGACTTATGTCCAAATCGAGATGATCTTGTCGATATATGGGCTAGAGAACAGCATTTTCCGACTCGTCTGGATTTTATGGGATTTACTTTTATCTGTCACGTTCTTAGGCCATTTCTTTGGCTCTTACCTACTTTTAATAGCTATAAATATATTCTTAATTTTTTCAGGCATATTGCCCGACTTGTCAGCAAAGTGTGCTTACAAAAGTTAAACATTCTGCTGGTCTTTTAACTTGGCTTGTTTTTGGTGGATGCTTAATATTTGGGTAAATTTTATTTTATTTTAGGGATTCAATTAAATTATATTTTTTTCAAGATGTTGGTTGGGCTGTTGTTTGTTGCCATTTTGCATGGATGACTGTCAAGATTGTGAGCATTTTTGCAGTAATTGCAACACTTTCTTGGGCCAGTACAAACGCCTCTGAATGAAGAGACTTTCTGCTATTTTTAAAAGTAAAAAGAAGACACATTTTGCGATATATTTCATTATCTTTTCATTTTTATAAACATTTGACAATTTTAATTGATTAGCGTTGAAAGGGTTCTGTTGGCCTTTTGAATGTTTTGAACATTTTTCGTTTGATATCTTACGTTTCTTTTAACATTTAACAATATTCGTTTCAAAATTCAAAAATCTGCGATATTTGGCATAATGCAAAATATTAAGATTAAATGACACTTCATCCCAAAAATCAATAATCGATTTTTGATGTTTCATTTGGCGTCCTCTCTCGTTCATCTTTAGCAAAGATGTTCTACAACAGAATGCGTGGCTTTTCCTTTTTTGGGGATTAACCTTTTTAGGAGGAGGGTAGAATTGAGTTGCGGACAAGACTTGCTTTTTTTCAATTTTTGAAAAATTTATCCAATTTTTTCAGTTCTTCAGCAGCAGCAATAAACAACAGCAGCAGCACAACATCAGCAACAACAGCAACAGCAGCAACAACAACAGCAGCAACAAAATGCACCAGTTTCTCCGGAGATAGCAGGGCAAAAAAGCACCAGTTTCTCCGGAGATAGCAGGGCAAAAAAGCACCAGTTTCTCCGGAGATAGCAGGGCAAAAAAGCACCAGTTTCTCCGGAGATAGCAGGGCAAAAAAGCACCAGTTTCTCCGGAGATAGCAGGGCAAAAAAGCACCAGTTTCTCCGGAGATAGCAGGGCAAAAAAGCACCAGTTTCTCCGGAGATAGCAGGGCAAAAAAGCACCAGTTTCTCCGGAGATAGCAGGGCAAAAAAGCACCAGTTTCTCCGGAGATAGCAGGGCAAAAAAGCACCAGTTTCTCCGGAGATAGCAGGGCAAAAGCACCAGTTTCTCCGGAGATAGCAGGGCAAAAGCACCAGTTTCTCCGGAGATAGCAGGGCAAAAGCACCAGTTTCTCCGGAGATAGCAGGGCAAAAGCACCAGTTTCTCTAAGGAGATAGCCGGGCAAAAGCACCAGTTTCTCTAAGGAGATAGCCGGGCAAAAGCACCAGTTTCTCCGGAGATAGCAGGGCAAAAGCACCAGTTTCTCTAAGGAGATAGCCGGGCAAAAGCACCAGTTTCTCCGGAGATAGCAGGGCAAAAGCACCAGTTTCTCCGGAG